ACAGTACTATCTAAACCCTCTGCTTCTCTGCATTACGGTGATCAAGCCCTGTTGTGAGTTCTTCTGTTATAACAGGGTTAAAACACCATTTTCCTGGATGGCCCAGGATGGCCCGGTGTCTCTGGTTAGCATTTGGCTGGGAGACCACCAAGGAAGTCCAGGGTTGCTACATAGAAGCAGGCAGTGGCAAACCACCTCTGTTTGTCTCTTACCCTGAAAACCCTCTGGGGTCAACATAAGTTGGTTGCAACTTGACAGCCATGTTCTACCACCAAAACATGGGGGCATCTTCAGCAATCATCACCTCAATTTTACGGAACCCTCTCTGTGGAGGCCCAATTGGTGTTCTTTCTTTGTCTTTTAGGAAACAGGATAAGACTTTCCTCTTCCACCAGGTTTTTGACAATTATTAAGGACGTCTAAAGATTTTGGATGTTTTCTGGTCCCTAGTCTCTTGGACGCCCCTGCCCTGAGGCTTTCATATAAACCGTGCTTCCTCCCCACTCCCAGTAGTTCATTTAAATTGTTTTCAAAGGTGGGTGGGTCTGATCCTAGTTCTCCTGTAGTTTGATACACAGATCCAATGCAGAAAGAAAGTTACCACAGGGAAAGCCAGATGGGTTGTCCAACCCTATCTTAAGAAGCCCAAAAGAAAAGTACTTGTGGGAAGAAGATGGATAAGAAATTATATAAGAACATAAGAACATAAGAGATGCCAATGTTGGATCAGGCGAAAGGCCCATCCAGTCCAACACTCTGTATCACACAGTGGCCAGAAATACCAGTGCCATCAGGAGGTCCACCAGTGGGGCCAGGACATTAGAAGCCCTCCCACTGTTGACCCCCCCAAGCACCAAGATGACAGAGCATCACTTGCCCCAGAGTCCCTATCTATACCTTGTGGCTAATAGCCACTGATGGACATCTGCTCCATATGCTTATCTAATATCTTTCCTCAATGGCCAACAGACCATGTCAGAGGCACCCTGCATAGATGAAACTCATGCAAACTCCTCTTTTGAGTGTACAGGTGTCCAACTCGTGGGCACCACAAATCATGTGCAAGTACACACTTGGATCTATATGCACATGCAAGAGGTTGGATCCTGTATATTATGGGCACTAGGACTTCCTGATTCATACCTACCTCCCACTGTGTTTCCTCCAATGCCGGAGCGAAGGTGGTCTTCTCCTTCTCGTAAGACCTCAGTTTGTTCTCCAGCATGTCCTGCTCCTTCATCAGGTTTGCCAATTCCTCACGGAGCTGCCTCTTCTCCTGCTGCAGCTGGAACACCTGGAGCTGCAGCAGCTGCTGTGCCCTCTGCGACTTCTGCGATGCCTGCTTGAGCTTGTTGTTGCATTTTTGCTTCAGCCCTTCCATCTCCTCCCTGCAACGCCTCTGCTTTTCCTCAAAGTTCTGGCAGGAGGTGATCTCCTTCTCCTCGAAGCTGCACTGGAGGTCCTGCAACTCCCCTTCCCTCTCCAGCAGCTTCTGCTCCAGCTCCTGAATCGTTGACTCGTCTGTGGAGATGGGCGAGCGGATGCAGGAGTTCTTCTCCCCGGCAGGGGGGTGAGCAGAAGGCCCTTTGCTAGGATTGAGGATCTTGGTGCCCCCGTCAGAGAAGGACAGGGCCTTCAGGCTCATCATGTTACTGTCCTGCAGGATTGCGCTCTGAGTGATGTTGTGGGCGGAGCCTCCAAACCGGCTGATGGGCCCTACAGGGGTGACAAGAGGGTCCAGCTGGTAGCTGCTGGCAGTGCTGTGGGTGGGGAGGCTAGACATGGAATTCCTCCCTGAATCGGAGAGTCCTCCCGAACAGGGAGCTGGCTTAACTTCCAGGTCCTTGGCTTTGTCCTGGGACTGGAGCTGCTGGGAGGGGTGGCTGCCATGTTCTGGAGAGGAATGGAGTACCGTGTTTGAGCGAGGGAGCACAGGCTTGAAGGCTGTGGGCCTTGAAGAACTTTTGTCTGTGGCCTGGAGAGATGGAGAAACCAAGTCAGTCACAGTGCAGAAGCATCACTTACTCAGCCTGTTCTACCCCCCTTCCAGAGACTCCCCCTCCCACAGCTTTGCCAGTGCTTGTACACACAAGGTTGGCTTCCATACCTAGCTCTTGCTCTGCATTCTAGCGGGGTTGGGATAGTGTGGATGAGAAGGTGCATATTTCCTATATGGTTTGGGACCAGCATACCCAAAGGACTGCTGACTCCCTTATGAGCCCCCACAGCTACTATGGTCCTCTTTGGAGGGCCTGCTTCGGGTACCCACACCTTCTGAGGTTAGGCAGGGGGCAACAACCCAGGAGAGGACCATCTCAGTCGTGGCACCAAACATCTGGAACTCTCTCACCAGGGAAGTCCACCCGTCCCCTTCTGTTGCCGTCTTCCACCAGCAGGTGAAGATTTTTTTGTTTCTTTTTAATTGCCGTTTTTATGTCTTTGTATATGGGTGCTTTCACAAATGCTAAATAATGCAGTTTCAATCCACTTCAGCGACCCTTTGCAAGTGGGTTTTGCCATTTCACCCAGTAAAATCCAGTCGCAACATGCACTGAAAGTGGATTGAAAGTGTGTTACTAAGCGTGTGTGAAAGCACCCTGTATTTCAACTCTGGTTTTAATTTGTGTTAATGGAGGTGTGGGATTTTAATGGTTTTAAAAGGCGATGTTATCATGTATGTTTTAAGTTGTTAGCTGCCTTGATGGACTTTATGAGGGCAGAAAGGCAGGATATAAATTTTGTAAATAAATAAATTTCCATGTTCCCCTGCCCACATTTGATGCCTTTTCTTCTCCATTTCCGTTCACACCACCACTCCCCCCCCGCCGCCACCTTTGGGCTTGCTGTTTTCCCTTTTAAATTCTAGAATAGATAAATAGCTGTAGTATTGTAATATTAGATATACCTCCCACCATTAAAAAAAACCCCCAAATACTGGCAAAAAGCCTCCTGGAGGCAAGGGGGAGGGGAACGGCATGGCAGAAGGAGGAGGAGGAGATTGGATTTTTACCCCACCCTTCACTCGGGAGTCTTAGAGCGGCTTACAAACTCCTTTCCCTTCCCCTCCCCACAACAGACACCCTGTGAGGTAGGTGGGGCTGAGAGAGCTCTGACAGAAACTGCCCTTTTTCAGGAACAGCTGTGCCAGAACTATGGCTTGCCCAAGGTCATCCAGAAGCTGAGACTGGAGGAGTGGGGAATCAAACCTGGTTCTCCCAGATTAGAGTCCGCGCACTTAACCACTACACCAAACTGGCATGTAGAAAATCTCCATGTGGAGGCTGAATGTATGAAGCTGCCTTATACTTGGGCCATCAAAGCCAGTACCTGTCTACTCAGACTGGCAGTGGCTCTCCAGAATCTCAGGCAGAAGTCTTTCACTTCACCCAGAGCTGGATCCTTTCAACTGGTGATGCTGCAGGAATTGAACTTGGGACATTCTGCATGCCAAGCAGAGCCTCTTCCACTGAGCCATGGATGTACAGCTGTTGCAGATGCCTCCTACACAGGCAGGTAGGCAGGTTCCCTCCCGACCTCTTCAATACACTTCAGCACAAAAACCTCAGCTCCACTCTACAGAGAGTACTTAGCTTAATAGTTAATCCAGCATCTGAACGGGTTCTCCTAATGCTGCCTCCTGAGGCCACTAAAATGCATTGCCAAGATATAAAATGAGCCAGGCTTGATCAGGCAGAAGCCATTATCGGTATCAGGGCTCACCTCTGGGAGTCACAATGAAGATGCCACTGAACAAACGCAGGGATTGTCTTGACCTCATCACTGAACAAGCATGTGTGTGTGTGTGTGTCAGAGGTGCAATGAACACAACAGGCCGGCTCATTTCCCAAGGATGGGGCATCTTCAGAAATCATCATCTGATCTCTCTTGCTTTAGAAAGTAATTAAGCACAGCAAGACAACAAACTAGATTATTTCCAGGGGTGTGTGTATGCGACTTGGTTGCTGTATTAGTTTGTTCTAATTAGCACAACTGCAGCCCCCCTCACTGTTCATAATACCAGGCATAGCTCTCTGCAACTCACAAGGCCTGTGACTGAACCAAGTAGGAGCAGAGGTTAATTGCAATGCGGAAGGGACCGTATGTCAAGGGGGCTGCTAAGATTGGCTGAATTTTCTTTTGAAACGAGTGTAGAGAGATCAGTTCTCTCTCTCTCTCTCTTTCACATACACAGAGAATAAGAGGAAGCGGAGGAGGAGATTAGATTTATACCCCACCCTTCACTACCTGAAGGAGTCTCAGAGTGTCTTACAATCTCCTTCCCCTCCCCCTCCCCACAACAGACACCCTGTGAGGTAGGTGGGGCTGAGAGAGCTCTTTTGAGAACTGGTCCTGAGAGAACAGCTCTGAAAAAACTTGTGACTGACCCAAGGTCACACCAGCAGCTGCATGTGGAGGCGTGGGGAATCAAACCCGGCTCTCCCAGATTAGAGTCCACACTATTAACCACTACGCCAAACAGGATTCAAACTAGGGCAAGGTTCTCAGTATTCTCACGTTATGCTCACCAGAAGGGACAGGATTGCTCCCAATGCCTATCGCACGAATGGAAAACTATTAAACTGGTACAGCAATATGGACAGGACTCTCCGGACACTCTTGTGGCTATTACACCATGCGGGTACTAGGACTGTTGGAAAAACTTTCCTGGAGTCAGAAAGGATCGGGGTGGTGGTGGTGGTACATGTTGGATGTCCGCCACCATAAGTGCTTTCCGCTGACAAATTGCTGGATCCAATCCGTAGGCTCCATCCTCATGATCAAGACCAAGTGGGAATGAACATTCCTGATCATGGAGAGAAAGTCGATGTGGATAGAGCTTAGATTCAGGTGGGTAGCCGTGTTGGTGTGAAGCAACAGAACCAAGTTTGAGTCCAGTGGCACCTTTAAGACCAACAAAGTTTAATTCTGAGTATAAGCTTTCGTGTGCCTGCATACTTCTTCAAGTGTACATGCACATGAAAGCTTATGCCCAGAATTAAACTTTGTTGGTCTTAAAGGTGCCCCTGGACTCAAACTTGGTTCTGTGGATAGAGCCTGTACATCTGTACACGGAGGGCAGGGCCAGCATGCTCACTCCAGCTCTTCACGTGCAGTCTTGCTTGTGGATGTGTACAGGGCTCGCCTAGAAGATAAATGGTATATTTGCAGTTTGCAGGTAGGTGTTCCTGTTGGCCAAGAAACTCACAAATGCAGGTAAGCCTAGACCCTTCCATGCACCAGTAGAGACAAGGGGGAGTGCAGCCACCTTCAGTGGAGTTTACCTGATGTTCAAAGCACACATTATGTGGGAGAGCGACAACCGAGCCTTCCTTTAATGCAAGAAAGCAGCTGCATTCAAAAGACACCTGTACTGTTCTCTTTTCCTCACTGCAGCTATTCACCACTCTGAGCAGCAAACTTGAGAGGAGAAATGGTTGGGGGGGGGGAGGTTAACCTCCCCTCCTCCAGTGCCGTAGTCTTGATCCAATTCCCCCCACACACCATTTTTTTTAATGTTAAAAGAAAATATTTGGCAATCTGATTGCGACTCTCTCCCACGTAATTGGTCCCAAAGACTCTGCTGATTGGTGCTGCTGGCTATGAGTCATTTTCCCTCACAGGATCACAGCCAGGGCACACAGGGCAGAACAAGTAGAAACTGTTTACGCTGAAGGCATTAACAAAAGTAGGAGGCATTAGGAAGTGTGTGTTCTCACAACAGCTACATGATTTCCCTTCAACAGGTGAACCCTCACAAATGTAGACCTCAGGGGGGGATTTCAACTTGAACAGAATACAGTGGCCAGGTAAACTGGGCCCTATCCTGGGTAGGGCTGCCAAGCCGCGGCGGGGGATCCGCACGTCTTCACAGGATCCCTGCCGGGGGGACAGCGATACGCGTTGCACGCGTATCGCTGTCCCCCACGGCAGGGATCCTGTGAAGACGTGCGGATCCCCCGCCGTGGCTTGGCAGCCCTAATCCTGGGGAATGTATATTTCTCCAGTATTTAAATATCTTCTTTGGCTTCCTGTTTGTTTCTGTGAACAACCAAAAGTGCTGACGTTGACCTATAAAAGCAACAGAGGAGCCAGTATGGGGTAGTGGTTAGAGCGTTGGACTAGGATCTGGGAAACCCAGGTTTGAATCCCTGCTCTGCTGGGGAAGTTTGCTGGGTGGACGTTTGCTGGGTGACTCTGGGCCAGTCACACACACTCAGCCTAACCTACCTCACAGGGATGTTGTGAGGGTAAAAGGAAGAAGAACAACGTAAGCCACTTTGTGCCCTCATTGGGGGAAAAGCCGGGATATAAGTGAAGTAAGCAAACAGTCTGTTGACTGAAGCAACTGAAGGACCATCTGCTCCCATATGAACCTGCTTCATGTAAGCACCATCTAGCCTTTACGAGGCCGTTTTTGTGGTGGCGTCCTGGTTGCGGAACTCTCTCTGAAAATGCATTTGCCTGCTTTCGTCCTTAGTAACATCTTGACAACAGTCTATCTTATTTTCCTCTGCTTTTAATGGCAACCCGTGCCGGTCAACTATGATCTGCATTTTATGCTGCTAACCGCTGTTTGCCTGCAATGTTTCACCTGGCCTTTATCGTAATTAATCTGATGCTTATTAAGTTAAAGGCTCCTGCTAACTGTTAGCAAGAAAGTCTACCATTATTCTCTTTTCGGCTCCTTCGGACCAATGCTCCCTCTAAGCCGTGGAGTCTTGTCAGCAAAAATTCTACTTTGTGAGCTACTGGCATTAACGTTGTGAGCGAGCGATTTGGCTACTGCATAAATTAGTTTGCTCTGGAGCCCTCCTTCCTGAGCTAAGACAAAAATGTGTGAGGCAGAGGCTAAAAAACTGTGAGCTAGCTCACACTAAGCTCAGCTTAGAGGGAACACTGCTTAGGACAGTAACATACCACAACTAAAATATCCTCAAAAGAATAATCTGCTCTCACCTACTGGTTAACTTATTGTTCAAGCTTAGCGTCTTTAAACTGTGCTATTTACAACTCACCCCTCCTGTACAGTCTGGAAAACCACGTAGTCTGCCTTCATTATTTCTTTGATGCAGCTAATGCATCCCCAAAAGGAATTAATTAGCTGTGCGATTAATGTGCCTCTGTTTATTCCATGCCTTCAAAACCCCATGGAGTTGCCCTAAATTGGCTGCAACTTGATGTCACTTTGCATCACCACGATTAATGTGCAGTTCCCGCCCCCCCATCAATGCAGCAGTTGATGGCTCTCCAGTATTTAGCCCACATGAGAACATAGCTGCATTGAGACCAGATTTCACATAACACAACTCACTAGTTCCAGCTGGTTGGAGCCTGGCTTTGGTTTGGGTGGTGTCGGGGTGCCATAATCCACGCTGCTCCTGCACGCCTGGCTCCCCAGCTCCCCACCAGAGAGTGGGGTGTAGTCCGACCGATGAGCCTTCTGGTTGACCTTGATGTAAAAGAAGTCCTCATTCTTGTTCCCCTTAGAGCTGGACTTGTTGTGGCCGGTTTCCTGGGAGAAGCCAAATTTCAGCAAGCCATCTGAGTATCTGTTCAGCTTCTTCAGGTGAGACGATTTGCGTAGCTTGTACTGTGAGGCCCGGCAGTGCTTGCTGTGAAAACTGTGCCCAGAGATGAGGCTACTGACACTTCCCATGATGCTCCTGGATGGAGGGCAGGCACAGAAGGGAGATGGGCCTGGCCGTGCCTTCTAGGGGGACATCCTGACTGCTGGGAGAGGAGTCTGGTGCTGTGGTCATAGCAGAAGCCTCACGGTGCCAGGAAGCAAGGAATCTGGGAGAGATGGGATGAGAAACAGGTGAGAAAAGCAAAAAGGTAACCAAACCCGGGCAAAAACAGTCACAACAGAAATGAAAGTTGAACTGGATTTGAGATGATCTACATTCAAGTCCTGCTTCTGCCAGGGAGACAAGGCAAAGTAAGTCACTGTGTTCAGTACCTTACCTAGATATCACTGCAACCTCATACATGCAGAGTATGCTCACCCCTATTTTTTGGTCTTTCTTACCCAAAATCTTTAAACCCCCCCCCCCATATGTACTATCTTACCATCCCACGTTATTGCAGATCTTTTTTGTTTGCAGGACTGAACACTATACCTACAATGGGGTTTTGCAAGGGATATTTTTGAATAGGCTCTACACTGACAGAATTTGCCCTTGTGGCCTTAACAGGATTGATACATCCTTTCACGCCCTGCTGGAATGCAGATTTTTTGAGATTATGAGGGATTACTATATTAAGCCTTTATTCAACCAATCATCCCCCTATACTCCAGAAACCCTGGCTCTGCTGCTCAGTAATAAAGATCCTAAGATCATTCTAGCAATTGCAAAATTTGTCTCAGTCCTTTTAGCCCTTGCATCTAAAAAAACCAAGAAATAAGTGTCTTCTGCTGCGGAAGATTCTTGAATCAATGAGCTTCTAATGGTACAAAAGGAAAGGAAAGGAACCTCAAACAACTTTGCAACTTTCACAGCACTAGTACAGAACAATGTTGTATTTAGGCTTCAAAAAAAAAAAAAAGGTATCATAAACTCCAACAAAACTTTTATTTGGAGGACTATACTTTAGACGACCCCAAGAACAAGAGAAATAAAAGACACAAACATTTTGTAACACTTTGCCCCAACAAGGACCTGGTGCCTACTTTACTTTCTTTATGTGCCCCATCAAAGCCCACCTTTCTCTGTGTGTAAAGTGCCCATCAAGTCGCACCTGACTTATGGAGACCTCATAGGGGTTTCAAGGCAAGTGAGAAACAGAGCTGACTTGCCACTGCGGCCTTCTGCAAAGTCTTCTTCAATGGTCTTCCCAACCCTGCTTAGCTTCTGAGATCTGACGAGATCGGGCTATACTATACTGTTCCACATTCCAAACACACAGTTTTACCCAGGCTTTTAATTAGGGATTTTATTTTAGCAGCTTTTCAAAAGGTCTGCTTCTGTTTTATAGTTTTCAAGCTGTTTATGTCCAATGGCTTGTTTTTAACAGTTTGTTTCTATATTGCTTGCTGTTTTAACAGTAAACTGCCTTGAGCAGGACTATGAAGACGCAGCATAGAAATCTCCTGAATAAAACAGATGACTCTGTTTGCTTTTCACATGGTTACTGGGCACTTCTAACCTCTGCTATGATAATATTGCATAACTTCAGCTGCACAGACCATCTTTTTTCCAACTGCACATCCTTCCCTCTGGGGGGGGGGTGCACATTTTGTGTATGGTTACACATTAAAGTAAACCCTGGGCCAGGAGTCAGGGTTACCCTAAGCATGGGGTATGTACAGAAGAAGATATTCCTGAAGATACTCTTGCCCCAAATGGTCCAATGCATGTAGTGGGGAGCGATACATTTTGTATTCTGCTCAGAAACTAATGTAGAGCACTGGAGTTCTTTAAACAGAGGAGACATGTTTTCTCAGCAACCAACCACAGTTAATAACAGACTGGCTGTCACTCCCCTGACTTGTATGGTTCTTTCAAGGCCTCCAGTAGTCATCGTCAGCCAAGCTGGGAGTGCGTGGAGCTCTTTTAGCCTTTATTCCAAAATCGCCTCCTTGCTCTTTGCAATCCCTGTAATCTTCAGTGCTTTTTAACTTGCCCCATATAGATGCAGCTAACACTTAATTACAGCTACTGTCTGTACAGCATTCTCCAAGACAAGCGAAATTCTATGCAAGTGCAATGTGTGATTACCATCATTATAGTTCGGAGGTGCCCAGCGCTCTAGCCTAGTTTCCTTTGCTTTGGGAAGGGGCTGGGGGAAAGCGATATGTCAGCATAGCTGGTTTCTTAGCTGGTGAGGGAGCTGAGGAGCAATCTACCTTCCTGATGCAATTTAAATCTTGGGGACCACGTACAGGTGGGCAGAAATTAGCACACAATCTGGAGGGGGGGGGGAAGGAACTAAATTTCGGGAGAATGAAAAAAGGGGAGCTGTTGGGTGGCTGACTCACTGCAGCCCAGCGACTGAGCGGAAGCGGCTTGGCTCCCCCCGCCGCTCACCAAACCCACTAAAAGCTTTTCTGCCACTCCGCTCCGCACCGTAGGCGTTTGAGGGGAGGCTGTCTCCGTCTTCCTGGCAGAGAACCCAGCCTCGCTCTCTCCACACAGGCCTTCAAAGTTTAAATTTGGAGATAAGCACAGGTACAGAATAAAATCCTCCTCCTCGCTCTCGCTCTCTCTCCCCCCAACCAAGCTTTAAAGCAAACGGTTTTCCGCACACCAGCTGCAGAACTCTGCGTGGGAGAGAGCAAGGATGGCAGGGAGAGCTGGAGGGGGGGGAAAGGGCTGCTTTGGTGGATGGCAAAATATCACCATGAAGGGGAAACTGCAGCAGATGGATCCTGCTCACCCCCCCCCCCACTTTGCACCCTGGTTTCCAAGGAAGGAGATCTTCCCCTTTCTCATTGCTTCCCCAGTCGTGGAAGTAGTGACAGACTTCACGTTCCTGGGATCCCAGATCACCGCAGACTGTGACAGCAGCCACGAAATTAAAAGATGCCTGCTCCTTGGGAGGAAAGCGATGGCGAACCTAAACAGCATGATAAAAAGTAGAGACATCACCCTGCCAACAAAAGTCCGCATGGTCAAAGCAATGGTATTCCCAGTAGTCATGTATGGCTGCGAGAGTTGGACTATAAGGAAGGCCGAGCGCCGAAGAATAGATTCTTTTGAACTATGGTGCTGGAGAAGACTCTTGAGAGTCCCTTGGACTGCAAGAAGATCAAATCAGTCAATCCTAAAAGAAATCAACCCTGACTGTTCCCTGGAAGGCCAGATAATGAAACTGAAGCTCAAATACTTTGGCTACCAAATGAGAAGGGAGCACTCACTGGAGAAGACCCTGATGCTGGGAAAGATTGAATATCAAAGAAGACGGGGATGGCAAAGGATGAGATGGTTAGACAGTGTCATAGATGCAACGAACATGAAATTGAGCAAACTGCAGAGGATGGCGGAAGACAGGAGGGCCTGGCAGGAGCTGGTCCATGGGGTCGCAAAGTTGTTCAGTCGACTGTGCGACTGAACAACAACAAATTGCTTCCTCATGCACTGCTTCAGAATTAGATGGCTTTAGGCTGCTCTGTGCTTGACAGCAGTTGCTGTGGTGAATTCTCACACTCATGACCAGTGCTCCCCCTAAGCTGTGGAGTCTTGTGAGCAAAAATTCTACTTTGTGAGCTACTGGCATTAAAGTTGTGAGAAAGCTATTTGGCTACTGCATGAATTGGTTTGCTCTGGAGCCATCCTTCCTGAGCTAAGACAAAAATGTGTGAGCCGGAACTAAAAAAAACCTGTGAGCTAGCTCACACTAATTCAGCTTAGAGGGAACACGGATCATGACAGCACTGGGTGTTACATGGGAGACTGTGCTACTGTAACGATTCACTTCCTGGATTTCCCTTGTCTGGGCATGACAATCTAGGAAATGTACTTTCCAATAATGTATGGATCCAGCCAGTGCCAAGGCAGCGCCCTCAACCCCTTGATAGTTAAAATTGTGCTGATTTATTTAGCACACCAGACTGTACACAGCTGCCTAGTAGCCGGTCCGACGGTCGGTTCCTGTAGCTCAATATTGGCTTTTCAGGCCAGTGGTGGCTCTCCAGGGTGTTTAGCAAAGAGAGGTCTTTCCCAGCACTTGCAGTCAAATGAACACATGAACCTGCCTTATACTGATCAGACTATTCATCCATCAAAGTCAGTATTATCTTTTCTGACTGGCGGAGGCTCTCCAGGGTCTCAGGCAGAGGTCGTTTGCATCACCTAAATTGGAGATACCAGGGACTCAACATGGGACCTCCTGCATAACAAGCAAATGCTCTTCCACTGATCCATGGCCCTCCCCTATACCAGTCCTCTAAATGCTAAAGATGGTACAAGTAAGAGGCTGAATAAAACATGGCATCTTCTCTAAATGAGAGCAGGGAGGAAGGCGCAACAGTTTCTCCTCCCAGAGATTTTACCTTAAGGGTCTTCTCGGAATCAGAGTTGTAGGCACAACTTGTATGTTCTTGGATGCAGGTAGTGCTACGGTAATCAGTCACTTCCTGTCTGTACAGGAAAAGCCAGGAGGTGAATGATTTCTACACCACAACATCCAGTGATATTCAGATCCAGCCCAAGTCTGACCTCTCCAGTTCAGTCTCCAGCTCTGAGAACTCGAGGAGAAGACTGTCCCTCTTTCAAGACCACAGGGGAACATGAGAAAGTTCTCCAGCAAGGGGAAAGTGTCACCTAATGAATTTCGGTTTCAGTGTGCTGGTCCGCAGTAGAACAGCTGGATTCGAGTGCCACAGCACTTTAGAGGCCAACAAGATTTTGTGGGTATAAAATTTTGAGCGTCAGAGCTCCTGGATGAAAACCTTGTTGGTCTCTAAGGTACTACTGGACTTGAATCTAGCTGTTCTAATGAATTTCTGTCCAGCATGCAGATGTTGAATGTACAGTAAAGGTGGCAGTCCTATATACAGTATCAGCCATGAAGCCTCACACTAATTTCATGGCAGAACAGATGTGTCCTGTTGAAGATGTTCCTCTTCTTTCACCATTTCCATCACAGCTAGTACCAGTTCCCCTCTTGCCGTTCACACAAGAAGTTCAGTACTAAAACCACTTGGGCTTATGGGAC